CCTTTGTCACTTGCAGAGCGAGTTACCAATTTGGCGATTGGGTAGCACTGTGTGTCTGTGTCGCTTGTTGAGCAAGAGGTCAGGATTCGAGTTTCACTCTTCAGTCTTCTACTTTTCATCTTCTTTTCTATTTTTCTTGGACATGGACTATTGGCTGGTAGTAGGGGCAGATCCGATCCAAGCAGTGGCGGAACTATTAAGCAGCCCGGAGGGGCCTGCGGCCCGGCAGTTTCTTTACATATACTCCGTATTATATATATATATATATATCCTGGGCTGGCACGCTAGTTATGCGACTGGGCGCCTACTACAAAAGAAAAGACACGTGGAACTTGCTGGACGCCTTTTACGCTGTGAGCGTGAGGAAACTAAGCTGCACTTCAGGACTTTATTCCAATTCAAGCTGAACAATTATGTGAAATGGGTGAGCTGTAAAGATTTTGCTACTATGAGCTTTCCTTGCCTGGTAAAGCTGGCAGCTGCCTTTTAGTAGAAGGGATGAGATTGTTTGGATGGTTTTTCTAGACTTCTTTAATTTATGAAAAACTACTCTCCCCTCCCAACACTTTATAAGATGTGGGGCGGGGTGAAATGGGTAAATAAATTTTATATTTACGATTATAAATTTATTTAGTTTTTATTATTTTTTGTGAGCATTTACTATTTATAAAGTCATCACAAGATTTATATATAGTTTTTCTCTAGCCAGAATATCCTTCTTTTAAAAATAAAAATAAAAAATAAAAAAAAATAAAAAAAGCGGCTCACCTTGCCGCCTGTTGGGAACCTATACTGAGCAACAAGCCAGAACAGCCTGGAGGGTGGGCGCAACCTCTTCCGATTTCCCGAGTAGGCAGCTATCGTAACCTCTTCAACATTTTCTCTTGTTGCCGCCTACCTTGCCGGAGACCGGATTCCAGGGTCGACACAGCAACCCGGTTGCCTTGCTGAAGGCCTTTCCTTTCCTAAATCCTAATATGTGCCCCTCCAACCAGGGGCGGAGCCAAGGGGGGTCAGGTTGGTCAGCCGACCCCGCTGAAAGTTTGAGAGTATAGAGCTCTGAAATATCTTCGATTTGATATATTATGACCCACGTAACTCATTACGAGTAAAATGTTATGACTTCTGGAAAATCAACACTATCTAAACGTAAAATCAGCAAAATTTGACGCAAAATATAGATTATTTTTCCAAATTTCTAAAAAAAGTATAATTCACTCAATACTTACGTGACACGACTCAAAAACAGAGCAAAGACAATCTATCTTATTGCTACGAGTGTCTATTTATCTAAACTGCGTATAAAATATTCAACTCACACATTATTTAAAAACGATCAACCATTTTCATTATGTATATAATTTGAGTTTCGACCCCCCTGAACCGTTTTTCTGGCTCCACCACTGACTCCAACATCCTCGGGCTGGTTCCGCCACTGGATCCAAGGAGGTAAGGGTCACAAGCCGACTGTAATACCCGAGATTAATTTAAGAGGATTAATAGTACTACTCATACCAACAGAGGTGCATCTCCTTTTAAGGGAGCTCATCACCCAAGAACTCCAAAGTTAAGCGTGCTTGCACGTGAGTAGTCTTGGGATGGGTGACCCCCTGGGAAGTTTCTCAGGGCGCGCATGAGTGAGGACAAAGTGCGCGGTAAAGGCTCGTGGTGGTTTGTGGGGACAGTACTAGAGGCCCGAAGTAACTACCTCGGGGCCTACGGGGCCGGGGTGTTACAAATGGTATCAGAGCAACCCTGCGACAGTGTGTTGACCCGTTAGATATCGGGCAGACACTTAGCGGGGCAAGATTCTGGGGTTTGATTGAGAGTGTTAAGGGCGCAACGAGGACGTTGTGATCCTAAGTGGGGGTGATTGTAATACCCGAGATTAATTTAAGAGGATTAATAGTACTACTCATACCAACAGAGGTGCATCTCCTTTTAAGGGAGCTCATCACCCAAGAACTCCAAAGTTAAGCGTGCTTGCACGGGAGTAGTCTTGGGATGGGTGACCCCCTGGGAAGTTTCTCAGGGCGCGCATGAGTGAGGACAAAGTGCGCGGTAAAGGCTCGTGGTGGTTTGTGGGGACAGTACTAGAGGCCCGAAGTAACTACCTCGGGGCCTACGGGGCCAGGGTGTTACACCGACCCCTGAAAGTTTGAGAGCATGGAGTACCGAAATACATTAACTCATTTGATATATTATGACTCACGTCTCATGTAATTCATTACGTGTAAAAAGTTATGGCTAATGTAAAACATGCACAATCTAACGTTAAAAAGAGTAAAATTTGGTGTCTACTCAGGTACGATTTAAAAATGATCTACTTATTATTATGTATTTAGTTAAATTTCGTCCCCCAAACGGTTTTTGTGGCTCCCCCACTAGCTGGTAGGTTGCCTAATACTACTATTACCCTTTTGGGCCTTCAATAATTATGGCTATGTGCCACCCCACAGGGTCTGATTAGACTGTTAATTATTTATTAAATAGAAAAGAAAATCATTAATTGAGATATAAGAGTTTAAATGGATGAAGTATAAATTTATATACAAAAAAGCTCAGTTAAAACTCGTATATTACGGTTGAGAACAGAGTTGTTAACGAGTCGAGCCTGAACACTGTGAGCTCGAGTTCGGTTCAATTTGGTAATAATGATGTTCGGGTTCAAGCTCGAAACTCGACGAACTTTACAAATGAGACTCGTGTTCGGCTCCATAGGCGTCCAATGTTCGAATCGAGTGCTCGATAAATATGCTCGATTTTTCAAATTTTCGGTGATGCCTGTTAATAGCCTCGTGCTCGAATTATTCGACAAGATTCAAGTTGTTAATAATCATATTTTTTTTATAGTAATAATCATATTTATATTGACATGTATTCAAGTTGTTAATAATCATATTTGTCAAGTTGTTAATAATCATATTTAGATTCATAAAACATACGAAATATGCTAAAATAGGAGTTTTATGAGTTACGTATGTTTCACACGGAAGTTTTAAAAGAAACTGACCACAATACCCTTGATGAAAGCAAGCCGCATGTTTTTAGTTTTTACAACGCATGGAAGTTTTTAACAATTAGTAAAATAGAAGAAATTTTAGAACACACGGTGCACTAGAAATTCTATATTTGATTTCTGCTTCCACTTTCTTCCTTCTTTCGAGATTGCTTTTAGTGATTCTTTTTTTGTTTTTTGTTTGTTTTCTCTTTCAATACTATTTCATCTTTCGTTCTTTTGACATTTTATTTATATTTTACAATACATATTACAATTGTTTACATTTGATTTCAATCAATATATTTGTAATTTTGAGATTATTGTTTTGGTTTGAATATGAAATTGTCACATTGCTATTTTAAAATATATTTTTATCACTAAGATAAAAAAAAATTGGTAAACAAAAATAAATATACTAAGATAAAAAAAAATATTACTCTACAAATTTTTGGTCTTCAAAATTCTAAAGTTGGCAATTTTTTTGACTCTTTGATGCATATTGTCATAAATTCTTACTAACACTAATATCCTATTGCCATATTTAATATGAGCGATAATGCCATTTTAGCAGTATTATTGCCATCTTTAGGAGTATTATTGCCATTTTTAACATGAGTAATACGAAGTAATGGTTATCTTTTGGACATTATTGCTATCCTTGTTATATTGCCATTGTACTTAAAATAATGGCAATTTCATATTGCAAAATACAAAATATTGCCATTTTCGTTCATTTATTGTCATTTTTTATCGATAATAGTCAGTAAATAAATTAATGTCAATTTTTAAAATCCATCGAACTAAAATTAATTAAAAAGTAAGATTCAAAATTTCAGACCGATTGTTGGGGCCTTGGATTATCTAATCCTAAAAATCAGATCTAAAATAAGAATTTTCTTTTGAATCTGAAAATTACAAAATAATTTATAGAAATCCAAGAGAAGAAAGGGAAGGAGGAGGAGAAAGAGAAGAAAAAAAGGAGAAGGAAAATGAGAAGAATGAGAAGAAGAAAAGAAGAAGAAAAATGAGAAATTGATACTTACCTATGTCCATGAATTCCGCCGTCTTTCTTTGTGTCGCTACCCTCCGCCGCAGCCCTTTTCCATCGGAGAATCTGGAAAAATAAAGTTCAAAAGATGAAATGGATGAACAAGAGAGATTCATGTTGCTGGGGAAATAAAAGAAAGAACGTGAGGCTACAGGGATAGAGTTAGGTGAGAGGAAAAGATAGTGGAGAGAGGAAAATTGTTATTCAAGATAATATAAAGAATGATATAATTGTATATATAATGAACAATTCACGTAGTTCCTATTTAGGGAATATATCAATTAGGACTCCTATTTTGGAACTTTTCTATTGTTTTAATCCTCTTTAGGATAATTTCTTATATTGTTTAAACATAAAACTCATCTCGAGTTCAAGTTTGAAAACTTATTAAATTCAGCTCATTATTACATTCGAAATCGAACTCGAATATTTGATAAACGCTGGATTTGTTAATGGCTCTGGTTGAGAATGGGACGAAGAAGTATCCGGAAAGACGGCAGTGATTTTATCGGATGGTTGTTGACTTAATGATTTGTTGTTAGTGGTGGGATCAAATTTTGTTCGGACAAGATAAACGGAAATGCTCTGGGTCGTGGTAGTAAATGGCAAATTCCAAAAGTTGTGGTTATCTTTTTCCTCAACCGCTTTCCCTCTCCTTTACTCCATTCCCTTCTCTCTCTCTCCCTCCCTCCCGCCCGCGGACGCTATTTTCCCGGCGTCCATCCCGACGACAAAAAGCCCGCCAACACCCCCTCACCGTCGACTGCTCAACCAGTCAACTCGAAAGAAAAAAACTGAACTCGATTGATTGATCGCATGGAGCTCGTTCGCCACTGCTTATGCACCCATGACAGAGGCTTCTCTGCGCAAGCCTGCGACCTTTGCGGGCCCATTTGTTTCCCGCAGTCAACTCAGGCCCAGCCGGAATCACCGGCTCTTCACGAAGAAGGCGCCGGGGATAGAGAATTCGCGCCGAGTTATCAGAATTTCCGGAGCTTGATCACTTCCGCAGCATCTCTTGCTCTTACCGTGCTCTTCGTAATCGGTACTTTCATGTTTTCATACGTTTCCGCGCGTCGCCGGCTTAATTCTTGTTTTTGATTGTAACTATTTTGGGATTACAATAATGTCAATAACAATTTGGCGATTAAATATTAATTGGCTAAGCGATGGGATCATCGTTTTTTTATTTCTTTCAAAATTATAATGTTTCTAAAAATGAATAAAAGGTGATTCGAATGTTATGTTAATCTTTCATGCTTTATAAATTGTCAAATAATAGAGGATACTAGGAGTCTAGGATACAGATAAGCCATCCTCAGCTTCTCGCCCATACCCCTCCAAAACCTGCTAATAAAACACACCCTAAGAGGGGATTAGAAAACATAGGAGGAGTTGAGAATGTTATTATTGTTCTGGAGCTAAGGCTAGATACCCACCAAAGACATACAGCTTGTTTTCCGTTTGGTATTAATCATCTGAAATGCTTTTTATCTGGAATGCAAGCAGTTGGCGCTTTAATCGGTGGTGTATTTGGAGCATTAGCTGGTTGGGCTGCTAAAAGCGGCATCCTTAGAGGAGCAGGACTGTGCACCATTGCAGGGGCAGTACTCTCCTTAGAAGCTCTGGAGGCTTCTCATGCCTATTGGTGTCCGGACTGTTCTGGCTCACAACACAGAACATCTTCTTTGGTATTGCATATTTTCATTCATTATGTGATTATGACCTTGTTCTGTGGATTAATCGTTTGTCCCCTTTGAATTTATGGCGAGTGGATAGTTGTTTTTCAGGCAGATTTCATTAAGGAGCTTCTCCATCATAGGTTTGTTGATGATCAGTTCCAGCATCCTGTGCCAAGAACTAATGGCCATCAGGTATACATATGTATATATGTCGTGCCGTAAATGGTGTCTGAAATTGGGGGCAATTTGTGTGACTAGAAAAATATAAGACATGGACAACCGAACAAAACTTTGCCATATAGGAGGAATGTGTGTGCTTGTATTTCTGTATAGTTATACGGAGTAGTAAACTTTTGGGGTGGTAACTTATCATGCTTCAGTTGATGTGGTTTCTTGGTGTAGACCAATCTTGAATATATCTCCTCCTTTTGAGTCTAAATCAGGTCAATTGCTCATTTGAAGTGTATTCAGACTTCAATATTTATTTATTCTTAAAGATCGACTCAAGATAGGAACAAGCAAAATTTTATATTTTAATTTGTATCTTTACATTTGGTTGGTGTATGATGTTGTAACAATTTCCTTATGGAACTTATTTGCATCTCATTTCGGTTCTTTACGTTTCAACTACACAGCCATATTAATACCTTTGTACTTATATATTGTGTGGGTAATGAGCTTCTCGAACTAACATGGGGATTTACTCTGCATTTGTGCACAATATTTTGATAAAAATATACGAGCAGGGGAGTATTAGCCCAAGCAACGACGACTTCAACGAGGTGATTGACTCCTACAGTGAATTGCCATTGAGGGGCTTGTCAGGGGATTCACTTAACAATCTTCCTTCTCATGTCTTGACAAGTGAGGTGAAAACTGGAGATAACATCTGTTGCACAATATGTCTGCAGGTTTAGTCTTTGTACCAAATGTTGAAAATGTCATGTCAGATTATACAAGCTGTGTATCAGATCTTATAAAAAACGTTGCATATGATTCAATCCTGGATCATACGATTCGTTGCTGACAGTCACTATTGTTCATTTAACTTGCAGGATATTGGAGTAGGGGAAACTGCAAGGAACTTGCCACACTGCAATCACATGTTCCATTTGAGCTGCGTCGACCAGTGGCTAGCGGGCCACGCTTCCTGTCCTGTGTGCCGAAGAAACGTTTAAGCTAGACTGCCTTGTTACATTGGTTTAATTTAAAGTGCGTAAAATATATGTATTGACTTGAAAATAATTACAATTACAGTACCAAAAATTAACAAGAGTAGAGACAAATTAACAAGAGAGACCTAGTTACATAAGGAAGCTAGCTACTGACTTACTGAGATTTACAAAAGTCATAACTAGAAAACCGTTGCTGAAAGCCTGAAACTATATTTTAGAAACAATTGCCAACTGAGTGAGTTTCTAATCACGGAGAGAAAAATGAACCATCCGGCCCAATGGTTTAGTAAGAATAAATGCCAACTGAGTGAGTTTCTGAAAATATAGAAATGTTGTACATTTTCAAGATCGATCTCATACCAAAGTGTGCAGAAATCATCTATTCGTGTCTTGTAATTTACCCGAAGGAAAAGATGCCACGAGCAATACGAAAGTGACCAGTGGAGGACCCCAGGGGGTTTGGAGGGCTAGTGTCCCGCTTCCGATACCGAAATTTAGTATTAGTAGTTATGATAAAAATCGTGCACCCTATCCGGACAAAAAACTACTCCGTATAAGACGTGGAGATAATTTTGTCGAATATCATATAAGAATTGTAGTGAGAAATGTTAAAGATCACAGAGTACAGTTGTGATGTAGTGATTCCTAGCTTGCAGTTAGACATGTTGTTGGTATGGTCACTACACTTTCTTTGCAAAGTGTCTTTGATGGTTTTTTTGACTAAGTATGAATAATGTTTGTCAAAAATTAAAGGTTAAAGATATACCAATCGTCTAATATATGAGACGAACTTAATGAAGAGAAGACTTTTATCTTAAATAAAAATACATATATGAAAAAGTGTGTCAATTCACTTTTGATATTTTGTACTACAATATGATAAAAGGTTCATATACTTTTTTTATTTAATAAAAAGAGATTTTATTGATGAAATAAAAAGTAGAGGTAAAAGACAAGGAGAATGTAGATTGTAGATAGCCCAACCCCCAATACATAATAGAAGCCCCCTCAATTTAAACCCTCATAGATCAAGGTCTCTCGCGAGTTTGTGATCTAGTCCTTATATGATGCGATCTCCGATTATTTTTCTAGGGCCTTTGAGTGTTCAAATTTTCCGAAGGCAAACCATTTTCTCTTGTGATCATGAGAGCTTTGTGGAAAATATCTCGATTTCCATCAGAGTCCCATAGATATGTTACAGTCGAGATAGACACTCTCTTCTCATTTTCTGAAGTATGACCAAAATATTCATGTCTCTGGAAGGATGAATCGCTAAAAGCTTCCTCATCATCAGTGCCTTGAGAGTGTTGATCACGTGTATAATAGTTGATCTCTGGAATGATTCGCTAGTAGCTTTCCTCTCATCAAAAAGTCCCTTTTGATTACCTGAAGATACATTCCTCAAAAAATTTGTAGGTGTACAATCTGTACCTTTCTCTTCATTAGCCGATTTATCTAAAGAAGAGGCAAATGATTCTTTCAAACTCTTTGATTAAAAATTGAGAAAATGAGTCAACCCCTTGAGTCACAGTGATTTGAAAGAAATCCTTAATATGTGTGAATGAGGGGTCACTTTCAGGTAAATGCCAAAAATCCTTCAAAGAGCTCACCAAATTCGGCTCACCATAATTCAGAAGGATGATGAATTAGATGAAGATGTATCTCATAGAATCAGAGTTGGGTGGATATAATGGAAGAGTGCATCATAATTTGTATGCGACCGAGGTATGTCGACTAGACTGAAAGGTAAATTTTATCGAACAACAATTAGGCGTGCGTTAATGTATGGCGTAGAGTGTTATACGGTGAAACAATGTCACATTCAAAAGATGAGTGTAGCAGAAATGCGTATGTTGTGTTGGATGTGTGGGACATACTCGAAAAGACTGTGTGAGAAATGAGATAATCAGACAAAAGGTGGAAGTAACACCTATAGAAGATAAGATGTAGGAGTTGTTAGGAATTTTTATGGTGTCCAATCTAATTAAATATCTTTGTATTTGTGTAGTTATTAATTAAACGTGTAATACGTGCCACAAATGTGTATCAGCCTGGGGGCTTCCTTGTAACCCGTAAGTTAGCTAACTTCTCCTATAAAAGGAGGCTAACTTACGGGAACCCAAAAATGATAGAGAATAGAAAAAAGAGGCTTAGAGTGCGTAGAGGCGAGATAGAGAGAAGGGTTTCTGCTGCTCTCCTTCTCGAGGGAGAGCAACGGGGTTTATACGGTATACCAGATTCGGTTTTAATCTTCTCGATATCTTTCTATCTGCTTATTCTTCTTGTTATGGTTGTTTGATTGTTAGTATTCTGGGTTTATCAATTGGTATCAGAGCCGAGACATGAAAAAGGTTGAATCTATCTGAGTTTTTCGTATCTGCTTTTTCGACAGACTCTGTTTTCTCTAGTATTTCATTATCTCGATATTTGCCTTTGTGATATTGTTTTTGGTTGAAACTTTGTAAAAATTATACTGTTGGAATCGTCTCCTCTTACCGATTCTATATCACTTCTTTGTTTTCGATTTCTGCAATTTTTTGATTTCAAAGATCTCTATACTGAGATCTCGAGATCCTATTTTTTCACCGCTGCAGAAACGATTTTGACTTGAATTTGGTACAGGAGGAATCGCGAGATCAAGGGCTTTTCAAAACTGTTTTCACAATTTCAAAACTCGAAATTTTCAACTTGAAAGATTTCGAGATTTTGTTAGATCTCGACACATTGGAAGATCTCGAGATTCTGGTTTTTATATGACAGGTGATATGGTTATATTTTACACACTTTTTAGGCTTAGTTTGTTGTTAATTTTAGTCATTAAAGTTGTACTTCTGTACATATTTTTATTATTTGCCGTTAATTTGTATTAGTGCGGTGTTATGCGTGTATTTTGTATTTTCAAGTACTTTTGATGATATTTGGATCATATGTGCATAAATTAAAGAAAAAAACTAAAGTTCAAGTTGGAGAATAACAAAAGTGGAATTTCCTTCAAAGTAAATAAGGAATAAATTGGAGAAAAGTAGCAAAAATGGATAAAGATGAGGCTAGTATTCGAACACTAGTCATTTGGTCAAAGAAGCAGAGCCTCAACCAATGAGCTAAATGAACCAAGTTGAATTTTTTGTTGGCAGTTCGTATATATTACTTCAGCCCAGCAGTGAAAAATGGAACAAAAAAAAGTAGCTAGGTTTTGAACCCGCGACCTCAGAGTCAAAAAAGCTCCCGTGTAACCGCTGCACTGCTATGTGTTTTTTGAACTTCATTGCATGTTTCTGTACATAAACTCGTCACGTTCCGTAAATTCCAGCAATTAATGATTAATCATCTTATCATTATATTATCTTAATCCATCTTTCTTCACACATAAGCTCGGACCAACTTCTCTCTAAACATCCCATAAACATTTTCACCTCCTTCTCTCTTCATTTCTCAACCCCAAATCATCAACCCATCTTCAACCATAACTAATCACTTTCTCATCCAAGATTAAGTCAAGATTAGCATCAAAGATCCAAGGATTGTCATCTATCACAAGTTTGATCTTCCTTATCTCATTAAATCTTGTACTTTAATCATGGATTCATCTATTTCTATGCTTCCCAACATGTATAGCTAAATAAATTTGGGGCTAGAAATTGGTTAATTAATTATTCTTATCATGTTTTAATTTGTATTGATTTTAATTGTTAAGTTTGTTCTATTTAGATTGTTGTGCCCAGAAAATTAATTATGTTGTGTTTGTGATATATATTATGAGTACTCAATCATAAACATGTTGTTTGTTAAATACACAAATGAACACTTTCTGAACACACCGTTAAACTTCTTTTACCTTGTCCCGGATCGAAGTTTTACGGGAGAATTTAATTATTTAATTATATTATTTACACCACGGGGTTGGGTAAATAATATAGTTAATAATTAAGGTTGTCATTGCACTTAAACAACTAGTCTCGTTTTGGCCATCATTGGGAAATGTTGACTAGTTACTTATTTTAGGTGACTTGTGTTGGGTCCTAAAATATTTATCTACAACTTCTCACAATCTGTCTAAGAATAAAATTAGCAATTATGTCTTACAAATGAGCATTGAACAATTAGTTGCCAATTTCTACCCCTACTTGCTATTGGTTGAACTTTGTGTTGATAAAAATCTCTTCTCTCAATCACTTTTATTTAATTACTTTTCCAAACAAACAAAAATCAAAAGAAACGCATTCCCAAATTTAATCCTTAGTTTGTGCTTAATTATTTTATTTCCCGCTTCTCTGTGGTTCGACACCCTACTTCCTTAGGTAAAAAAAAAAGTTGTGTGCCCATTATATGCTACACACCAACTTAGCGCCGTTGCCGGGGAAGCGGTTTTAAAAAAAAATTGAAAGCATAATCTTTCGATTTTAGTTTATGTAAATTGTGTGTATATTATTTTGTTTTTATCTTGTTTACTTTTGCAGGTTCAAAAAAAAAAACAAAAAAAAAGTGAATAATTAAAGTAAAAAAAAAAAATATGGACTGTGATTAATCATCTTACCTGAGCATTGGAGTTGGACTTGTTGACTGAACATATCTGGACATTCAGACCATTGAACATATTGTTACATTTTAATTCAAAGGATAATCCAACTATATGGCTGGACCGCTTACTTGTACATTTTAATTAAAAGGATACTCCGCCTATATGGTCGGACCGCTTACTTGTACATTATAATTCAAAGGATACTCCACCTATATGATCGGACCGTTTATTTTTCTTTTTATGGTGGTTCAAACCCCAACTTTTTAATTTCTGCACTTTAATTATCGCAATTTAATTTCCGCACTTTAATTTCATCATTTTTTTAAATTTTGCATCCCCAAGCTTGTCGGTCGTGTCCACCTGTTGGTGGAGTGCACTTTTTATTTTTATTTTTTTCTTAATAATCCCCAGACTGTCGGCATATCTGCATCTTGGTGGAGACTGTATTTATTACTGTAGCTATTTTTTTTCTTCCCTCAAATCACCATATCTGTCAGCCCAGCCGCATCCAGGTGAATTACTGTATATATTCATACTGCTTTAAGGGCTCACTAGTCTTATTCGGTTTATACCAACTGACTACGTGCGAACCATAAT